ATATAAAAAAGAATACTTAATAAACCGTACAAAAGCAAACTCTACAATATGAAAGATGTTCTATTCTGTATTAAAAATATTAAACAATAATGAGTTTCCTAATTACATCGATGATGAACAAATTAGACGAACTATTGGGAATATTGGCATAAATAAAATAAACATAATATGTCCTGAAATAACTTTAGACATATCAAACTACTATACAGTAATCACATGCATTCTAACTATAAGCAGGAATAAAAATTTCTAAAAAGACTCATAAACACTAATATATAACCCACTAATCCATGTAAAAAATAAAATTAATTATATACTTTATACTATTATATACTATTTAATACAACCAACCTAGTCACTCATAACAACTCTTCTCCGCCAACTAGCATCTTGCAAAATGCAGTCAACATCAATGCAAATGTCCTTTAGGAGATTGTATCTCTGATACAAATGTTAATACGTATGTTGGTTTAACAACAACGACAATGACTAAAAGGCTAACGTTTTAGTTGAACGATCATAGTTCAATCTCAGTACATTTAAATGAACACTCATATTCACATTCACAGTTTAGGTAGATATTAGTCGAAAATACATCCGTGTTCCATCAAGATAATAATAAGTAGAAACTTTTGAAAGCCCTTTATATAAGTGATTTGCGGCCAAAAATAAATAGTTAACTACCATTATAGCAACAAAGTTCTTAACTGTTTGTAGCAGCAAAGTGTTATATAAATAAATACTAAATTAAAAAAATACAATAATAAAATCTTTTTAAAAAATAAGTTACCTCCCTTGCATAGAGGTGGAAAATATTATGAATTTATGGTGTTAACGCATAGCACATCCATCGATATGCAACCACTCAAGATCATCTCAGATGAGATTGAAAGTATTTTGGAAAATAAAAATTATTTGAACGAAAATTTTGAAATTATTCTTATTCAACTTTCTACAGGCACCAAGGAATTAATTCGTGGGCTTGAAAGTATTAAAAGCAAAATAGACATAATACTTTTAAATTATTTAACCAAACCTGCTTGAATGAAAATAAGCTGCCTAAATATGCATATATACATACATACAACCCCATATATATATATATATATATATATATATATATATATATATATTGAACAATAAAAATATTAAAACATTAAAATCTTCAGACACACTGGGTTGTATATTAATATTCTTTCGTTTTTATTATTATTTCATTTAGATTCCTGATTAGTTTCGGCCAACATGATCATCATCAGAAGAAAAAAACGTTTCTGGTTACTGGTTGCAGTGAACTACAGAATATATATATATATATATATATATATATATATATATATATATATATATATATATATATATATAAAGGAACATAGAAGTCAAAACTTAGAGGCGACAGTCTGTTTCATGGTAGATGCAATCGTCAGGCCATGAGTGGTGTTATTTTTCTCGGCTATTTATATATACGGGTCAGTGGTGTATTGTGGGTAGTCTATTTTGGCCGTTATTTTACCGGAAGTCGTTTATTTGCTCATTTATTTATTTGGGTTAAATTATTTGCTTGTTTTTATTTATTTTTATTTTTTTTTTATTTCTCATCTTATATATTTATTATTTATTGACCCGTGTTGATTTCTATGTTCACTTTTATATTTACACACGCTCTATCTCTGATACTGAGCACTTTATCCCATAAATATAGCACACCTTAAGACTATATTTCTTCATATATATATATATATATATATATATAGGTCAGGAGAGAGAATGAAATAGTGCAGTTAAATATAATCAGATAATAAATAGTGTGATGTGCTGTCAAGTTATTTAACTACGAAGAAATTACTTCACCTATCGCATTTTCCATTCTCTATCTACCTTTCCCTTTGGATGTATTTGAAGCGATTCCTCAAAGAATACTCTGCTCACACTGTTTTTATCCAAAGTCCGTTCAACATTTAACTCGACGCGCGAAGTACAAACAGATTTCCACAGCATTAGTGTATCAGCACGTCTATATCAAGCGATATAGTAAATTAAAAAGATTGTGAGTGATGGTGGGGTATTAAAAATAAGGAAAGTACTTACGTGTGTCTCGATGATCATGAATGAGATTTTCATTTGCGTACCCTAATTTTTGGCTTATCGACTCATCTTCCCTGTTGAACAGTAATCTTGACTTAGTGAGTTCAATAATCGATAAAACAATGCTTAAGGAGAAATACGTTTGCATTGCTCTGTGGGGAATTCCACATATTCTCTGCTCTCTATTGTCACTGATAGAGACAACATCCAGAGGCTCTCTGCGTACGTGTCAAGGAAGGATCCTCGTTATTGTCAAGTGAATTTGAACAGGACATGACATTTGTGATAATTTTTTCCTCTCTCATATTTTCCTTTCATTTCTACCGTTTTTATTTTTCTTCCTTTCTTTCTTCTTAATTTTTTTTTTTTTTACTTTTATTTCCTTTGTCCCTTTCCTTCTTTCAACCATGTCCATCTTTTTTTCTGTTTACGAAAAATCAATTCATATCTCCAATGTCAAGGAAATATAAAACTAGATTTTTAATAACAATAAAAAAGACAGGAAAAATTCGTAAGAAATGATTGGAATGTCACTCTAAGAAAGTAGAGATATATGTATGTGGAAAGCGCACCCTATTCTTTGGAATTTGGAATCGGTAGATCGCAGAATAGACATTTCGGTTTATATTCTGACACTGTTCCAACCTTGCTTCACGCCGTTTTTCCCGAACCGCTAAAAGCAAAACTAGTCACCAGCAAGCCAATAACAATGGAGATCACTGCCAAGGGCGGTAACTCCTTTTATTTAGCTATTATTATTATTATTATTATTATTATTATTATTATTGCTTCTTTGATTTTTTCTTTTCTTCTTTTTCGACATTCCTTTTTGTTATCCATGTTTTGTGTCTCTTGCTTCCTTCCACCGTTTTCTTAGCTTTCGTTTTTCTCTTATCTGCATATCTTCTGCCTTTATTTCAGTACACATTGCCAGATCTATTATTTTCAGGTACTACTTACGCTTATCTCTGAAAAATACCCTTTCAGGAAAGATGAAAAAAAAAAGAAGCATAGAGGAATCTTTTATGGTTTGGTAACAATAGAAGTTCCCCACTTTCCCGGTCAGAAGAGAAAGGCGCTTGTGTCGGTCAGAAAGACAATGCGAATCTTTTGGCTCACCAACTTCTCCCCTCCCGGATAAACCATTAATAACACCATGCATTGCCCTTAAGAGGAGAGAAGAGCCATTGAACCTCGTCTTCTTGAACATCGAAACCTTGATCCAAGTACCAAACCAAAAACACTACAACCACAGCCCACAGCCAAACGAAAATAAAAATAAAAGAACGAAGACAGAACTCCAAAGACAATTGGCTACAATGAAACAAAGAGAAAGAGAAAAAAAAGGGGATCCTAACTAACGATCAGCAGGGTCCAGTGATGATATTTCTGCAGGGCAATTGTTATATCGAAACAGGATGTTGTAATCGATTGGAGAGAGCACTTTTTTCTTGCTTGTAACACGACGAACTCAACGTCTCAAGTTAAATAGTATCAACAAATAAGACGCCGCTTTTAAGACAGTCTAAACGCCCTGTTTTAAAAGCGTAATATTCTTGATGATTTCCCGCCGCAGGCTAAGAAATAGAGGAGCCGTAATCAGCTCAGTCGGCTAACGGTTGAGGGAGACGTGTAGGAGAAGAGAGAATACACTTTAAATAAAACTGTTTTTCTATTAAGGTTGTTTGCGACGATAAACATAGCAGTAATGTATCACAGCAAAATGTGTCAGTCAATAAAAATAAACTCGAATGAATACATGAATTTACTCATTTATATTCTAAAAGTTCTGCTCGCAACAGAGGGCTAAGGATACCTTTGATGTTTATTAGACGGAAAGATAGACAAATAGATATTCGTCAATGAATGTATTATCAGTAAATTTCCCGACCCAACGAGTTGTCTTTGAGATTAACTTCCTAAAAATCGTTTTTACGACAGATCTAAAGAAAATGAGCTGGTAAATAAAAACACAGTTGGATGAATACGTGAATCTATGCATTTACAGGCTGCGATGTGTAAATTGTCGCCATTTTATATTTTTAATTTCGCGCATGCGCGTTATTTTTTTTATTTTTTTTTATTTTGACGATTGCACAGAATAGTAGGGTCAGTTGGGCACTATCTGTGAGAAAAAGAGTACCATGATACAACTCACTCAGCCAGATATTTTGAAACGGCATGCTGTAGTGCTTTGTATTCGGGCCTGAAGTTTCAATTTTTTTCATAGTGTTTGGGTGCCAATCTGAGGACAGTGCACAGGGTTCAGAAATAGTTGGATGAATCTTATGGTGATTACGGAGGTATGGAATTTCGGAAACCTCACTCTGACCGTTCTGACAAGAAAAGATCTGAATTTATTGGCGAGGGCCTCAGACTCAAAACGCAGGCCTACATCAAGTACCTTGAGGAGGCAGTGCTTCCCTGGATCAAGAGGATGGCCGCTGAAAGACCCTATGTCTAGCAAAAGGACACTGCACTATGCCACACAAGCAGGAGAACCCAGCTATGTCTGTCAGACAATCTCTGCCATCACATCTCCCCTTACATTTGTTGCCCTAACTCCCCAGACTGCAACACCCTTGATTATTATATGTGAAGTGAAGTTAAGAGAGAGACCAACAAAACTTTTTGTTACACCAAAGATGAACTGAAGGCAAGGATTATGGCATCATTCACCAAATTAAACAAGGAAAATGTCCAGAAGTATTGTAGCAGATTCTTAAGTCGTTTGGAGGTCGTGCTTGAAGCCAATGGCGATTTTATTGAATAAATTTATTCTTTAGTATTTCAACATATGTTTGTATAATTTTAGTAAATACATCTGTTAACATGAGTTGTCCGTATTATTTTCATATTAGATGATTTGAGCAATTCACGGAAAATAAAGCAGACATTGTTTCAGAATATTCTTCATGAAACACTTTCATGAAATCTATGAATATGACAAGAGTATCTATCTATCTATCTATCTATCTATCTATCTATCTATCTATCTCAGACCGCCACATCTATCTATCTATCTATCTATCTATCTATCTATCTATCTATCTATCTATCTATCTATCTATCTATTCGTTTATTACATCTGCTTCTAGCTTATAAAGTTCCCATTTCTTGACATAATTGAACCTAAGTCATTTGCAGAAGTTCCAGTATATCACTGCGCCTACCCTATCGTATATTTTATATACTTTTCGATTCATCTTGTTGCAGTCACATAGTAAAAAATTTAGCATCTATCTCCAGAATGGTGATATTTGCTGTTTTGATCGTTTTGTCAGTTTCTGCTTTGCTATAAGTCCCGAAGTATTTGTTCTTTTTCTTTGTTTTCTTTTTCTACGTATTATTATTATTATTATTATTATTATTATTATTATTATTATTATTATCTTTGATTTCTGGCGTTTACACATTTCTTTCCGGGTCCCGCCCAGGGACCTAAGTTTAGAAATGGCGTCCACTGACAAAAAAAAAATTACATAGATAAAGCCCTTCGTAAAGTGTGGGCTGTACTTGTCAGAACAATTTTTGTATCTCCTTGAGGCATGGACTTCCAGGAATCCCTTCAATTAGTCTACTGCAATCTTTTCCAACCAGTCCTAGGACTCCAACTACAACAGGGATTGTTGATGTTCCCATATGCCACATTTTCGAGATTTCTATTTCAAGGTCCTTGTATTTTGACAACTTTTTGAATATCTTCAAAGATACATTGCAGTCAGCAGGGACTGCCATATCAATAAGGAAGCAATTGTTTTTGTTTGTGGTCTTTAATAACAATATCTGGGCGGTTGGTCTTGATTGTTCTGTCAGTGTGTATTGTGTAGTCCCATAGAATTGTAACAGGTTCTATCTCCGTAATCGGGTCTGGGTGGTGTTTATACCAGGTTCTTTCAGTTTCCTTCCCGTAGAAGTTGCAGATTTTCCAGTGCAGATATTATTATTATTATTATTATTGTTGTTGTTGTTGTTGTTGTTGTTGTTGACGTTGGTTTTGCTGTTGTTGTGGTTTGAGAGAGCAGCACGCCAATAAAGTGACGCTAGGTTACACATATACTATAGCCAATACAGTCTGATGAGGATATACTAGGCACATGTATCACATCAACATGTGACCTACATAGTTTCATGCTTTGGTAAAACGGCTTATAACCTTTCAGAAGGAATCCAGTAGGAAATACCTTTAATCTGGTAACCACGTCTGCTCAGATTGAGAACAAACTCTTCCTCCTTCCCAATGACATACGAAACGAATGAGGATGATTCGACCCTTCTATCTCAAAAATTGCGATTCATGGGCAGTTTCAAGGCAGTCCCGTCTCTCAGAAGAAGATTTGTTTCTGAAGTTACCTTCTTCTAGACTTTGCCTCAATAGACAGTACCTACAAGGTGGTTTGAAATCAGAATTTCCTTCTCCTAGACTGGTCGACACTCAAAGCTATAGGACCTGACCCAGAATACTCTGCTATTTTACACGTAGCTGCGGTGGGTAGACGAGATGGATTCATACCTTTCCCAAGGGTATGAGCACTCAAGTGAATGTAATGAACTAGACTGGTATCTATTATGAATTGTGAATAACTTATACACAAGAACAGCCATATTTGTGAAATGAATGCTTCACATGCTGGAAAAAAACGTTTTAAAAAATTAATAAACAGGAAAGTTTGTTCTGGTTGAATATATATATATATATATATATATATATATATATATATATATATATATCCAAGACGAAAACTGGAAGGATTTCTATTAAAGACTTTCGTTCCAAGAGGAACTTTATCAAGACAAGTGTCAAAATTATATTTAGTAAACTTTATTTATAGTCTAATTTTGACCATGTTATACATCAACAACAAAAGTTACGAAATATTATCCGCATGCTGGAAAATGGATTAATAAATATCAAAATATCAATCCCTTCTTAAAATACACATATTTACATAATTCGTTGAGTCTAAAAGAATCTTCAACAGAAATCACTGGACGGGCGCTTCATACTCTTTTTAGGACGCATCAGTACGCATCCACTATTGAGAATCGAACTCGGACCGCTACAATAGGACCCAAGCGTCATAACCACTAAAACAACGGGTCTCAGTGACGGAGAGATAAGACATCAGACTCGGTATAGACCCGTCAGGTGACTCATCCGAGCGGTTTGGGAATAAAAGTCGTGACTCATGGGGCATAGTCCGTTGTTATAAGGTCCGGTTTCGATTCTCGGTAGCGGGATGCGGACAGCTGATGACTCCCCAATATAAGACGAAACGGCATTCTGCTAAGGATTCTTCTAGACTCGATGAATTAATTGTAATTATTCAAATCCCTTTAATTTCTATATATAAGGGCGAAACTCATCAGTCCTAGTGAAAGAATTTTATTTATTTATGTATTTGTACATATCAGTAACTTAGAGATAAAAATAACAAGAAATCAATCAACTAGCATTTGTTTAATGGCCGTAAAAATTATGTCACTAAGAGTCCTCCATATTTAATGTTTCTTTTCCTTCTTTTCCTTCTTTATATAAATATAGGTTACTAAATAAAATGTATACTTTTGTCTTGATAATGTTCTTCAAGGAACAAGACGCGCTAACATAGCTTTTATCTTTTATTGTCTGGAAATATATTTTTACACACACACACACACACACACACACATATATATATATATATATATATATATATATATATATATATATATATATATATATATATATATATATATTATTTCAGACATTATTTTAGTGGGAGAACGTATTTGAGTAGACTTTCTGTTTTTAGACAGTGTTTATTTCGTCTATAAAACCTGCGCAAAATGAGACAACTTAATAATGAAAATGTGCCCTTTTCTCGAGTACAAGGGCCGGTAGGTGATATAAATACTTTTAAAAATGCAAAGTGTCTACTCAAATATTGGTATCCAGTAAACATAAATATATGTAATTTTATATGCTGTTAGTACATTGTGTCTGAGGTCGCTGTTATGCATAACTATAAATTTAGAACTATGTACACACATTTGTGGCAGGCAAATAGGAGTACTTAGAATATTGACGCAAAACAAAGCTTCCACCCTATGTTAAAAGAAAAGAAAAAAGCTTAGCTATGTTTAGTATATATATATATATATATATATATATATATATATATATATATATATATATATATATAAATTTCGAATTAATTGATAATAAATGATTCAGTTAAAAAAACCATGTTTCAAAATAGAAAAAACCTAATTTAATTTTGTAATTAATTAAAAGCATTAGTTCAATTTTATCTTCGCTTGAAGATGAAATGGAACTAATGCTTTTAATTTAATTGCAAAATTAAATTCGGGGTTTTTAGCTTCTATTTTTTAAATATGGTTGAAATGTAGCGAAAAAAACATATTTTAAATCAATTAATTTATAATATTAATGCTCTGTAAATTTATATTGAGTAATATTTTGTAAAAATAAAATATCTATAAGAACACCAGATTTTATATCTTACTGTTCTTTTTTTTTTCCTTTATTTATATATATATATATATATATATATATATATATATATATATATATATATATATATATATATACCTTCGTATATGTAAATGTTGTCAATCGTTTTTCTTTTTTGCTTTTGGATTACTTTCACGTTTATTTTGTCTGTGTCATCCCATGTTTCTTGGACAGCTTGTGTGCTTAGACCTGGCGCGGAAGCATAACCTGTAAGCCACTCCACTTTCTATTGAATGGCAAGCTGAATAACTGAATTTTTACTATGTCTGTTTAAACGGGAGGCAGACGTGATATTACGTTGATTGCTGTGAGAAAAAGCTTATCACACAATCTCATCTCTATCCATTTTTTTCCCTTTTTTGGACTAATGTTAGCACTGAGTTTATTGACTTCTGGCCTCGATCGATCAATCGATAATCGATGCATGTTTGAGAAAGTGGGCGACAAATAAAAGCAGTGCAGGTATGGTCGGTAGTAAAGAATTTGCTGCTGTATGGCAAACACAATTAGATCCTTTTGAAGTATAATACAAAGTTAACCAACAGTAAATTACTCAAGTGGAAATTACTTCGTTCAAGAGAAAGCATAAAAAATGACGATGAAAAGTCAGAAAAATGTCTGTTCAACGAGAATTATTTGTATTCAATAATATCGATTTGGGAGTTTAGATTTTATTACAGAACGCTAAATGGCGCCTACCTTAGAACTGTAGTTGCAAAGCTTCAAAATATTTTTAAATAAATAATGTTGCATGTGTTTATACTAAACGTAATGGATATATATATATATATATATATATATATATATATATATATATATATATATATATACACACACATATGTATGTATATATGTATATATATGCATAATATAAATAATTCTATTATTTATATATATATATATCTTAAATATATATATATATATTTAAATATATATATTTATATGCATAATATAAATAATTCTATTAGCTAAATATATATATATATATATATATATATATATATATATATATATATTTTATATATATATATATATATATTTACATATATATATATATATATTTATATATATATATATATATATACATATATCTGTATACATTATTTACATTATTCGGACTATTGTCCTCATCTTTGTCGCCATATTCATTACAACATTTCGGCCGTTGTACGCTCCGGCTTTCTTCAGGTGGTTGGAATGTCGAACTGAACCCTTTATTTCGCTCACTGGGGTAGACTGTTCTGGTTCCACGTGCCATGTTTAATGGATGTCAGTTATCAACTATCTCCACTGCCTTTTGCCGGGTATTCAATTCACACTCTTTTGGTCCCGTCACTGGATCTAACGCCTTTATCCACTGTGCCATGTGTGTACTTGGGACATCTGTGTATGCATTCATGGGTATTATAAACCTAATGTCTTCACCATCATTTTTTTTATCAGTGCTCATATTGCAATTTTTGCTGTTATCATCTATGTTTTTACCAGAGCTCATATTGCAATTTTTGTTGTTATTATCGCTTTTCTTTAGCACTATTTATTACTGGTTCCAATATTGTATTCATTTCTATGCTTGGTCGGCTCAGAGGAGTTTTGTGGCCTGGAATATGTGCTGATTCGTTAATTTTACGAATTTTCCAATGGTGTTCTTTGTCTATGATCTCAACCTGATCCCATAGAGGGCGGAGATCTGCATTTTCTGTCCATATTTGGTCAGCCATGCCTGATTTTTCCACTTACCCTCGTGTTACAGTTTTCTGGTGTTCTTGAAGCCTTACCTTAAGGGGGAGGCCTGTCTCTCTATATTTTTTCCGCAGCGTACACAC